ACCATCTGTTGATTTACGTTTAGAACACGATGAGCTGTTTGGATCTATTATATTCAAAACTTGAAGAGACCTCTGCTGTCTGAAGTATTCGATATTGCATTTCTTTATGTTTGTTACTAAGAAAAAGCGAGTTAATTGAATACACTTTTTCCACGATTGTTCATTATATTTTCCTTTAAGATCGTTTTCCCAGTTCTTAACAAGTTTTTCTATATTATGTCCATTGTATTCCTGTATATGACTGTAACAATGTCCAATGAACCCTTTTTTTAAGCTTATAGTTGAGCAAAACCCCTCCATTGGGTTCATTTGAATTGTCTTGCGGTGACTTAAGATATGAGTAAATTAAATGTCTGATTTATAAGTATGCATAAAATCTTTCTGTGGAAGTTTATATTTATCTTGTACTTGTGAGAATGGCATAAAGATACCATCAATGAGTAAGTCACCTATCACTCTCATACCAGTCACAAACCATCTTTGAAATACACCTCTTTTAATACCAGGAATAAATTCCCCATTGTTTATAATTGGTGTCAAATAAGAAATAGTGAGGTTTTTTCCATAGTACTTATTCATGTCCTGCCATATATTAATTGGGTTTTGCACTAATGGGTTATCTACACACCCAGGATTTTTTTGTTCATAATCCTAGGTATTAGTGTAAATGAAGAGCCCCAAGGTTCCAATGGGTCCTCCAGTCCTTGACCCAAAACCACTGTATCTTGTAAACATTTGAGGAATATCAGTTAGAGATCGGTCGATACAGGTTTTTGAAGGCCGATACTGATACCGATTTTTTTTACATCAGTCTAACCAATTTGCTGATACGTGCAGCCAATTTTATTTTTTGGCCAATTCTTGAAGCCGATATTGCCTTTTCTTTCTCCATTAACATGATAAAATAAGAATGATAACAAATGTTACACAGGTCTCAATTTAAAACAAAACAAACAAACAAAAACATTTATTAACTGAGGCTTGTCTGTTGCACGCTATATTAAGTGCTGCCACACAGAATTTCTTCTTTCAGCCATTTCTTTAAAAAATAAAATAAAAAATAAAAAAATTAATGATTTATTTTATCTAGCGCTAAACATTCAGTTTTTCTTTGTAAATTAATCAGATTAATATATTGTTTTACATAAGATAAAATGATTTTTTTTTAATATGCCAGCATTTTTGATGCAAAAACAGCTACAGACCTAAAGAAAACAGAGAAACACAGAGAAAAAGGAGAGACACACATACATCTTTCTATCTTTGTGAGGACTTCACACACACACGCAGCGCTCTCAGTCTGCGCTTGTTTTTTACACCGGGCAAAAAATGCATTTAAACCAGCTGACATTAACTTTAGATCACAGTTTGAAATGTACACTGAAGAAAACCTGCATCACGACTTTTATACTGCAGTCAGAGCAAACGTGATCTGAGCAGCGTCTGCCTGGTTCACGTTTACATGAACGGCAGCGCTTTACTCGCTCTTATGAATGTAACAGTGAGAAAAGACAGAGAGCTTTTTATTTTTATCCAGCAGGGAGAAGAATAGAGGTGTTCTATGCCTCCTGTGAGCAGTTCCAGCATTTTTAAAAGAAAAACAATGCGGACACCCTGATTACAGTTTGGTTTCATAGTGAAAGTAAAAAAACATGGCGCTCCCATCCACGAAAGTGAAACTTAAACACACAGCTGTTCTCTATAACGCTCATAGTCCGACACAGAGGTCAGACACAGTGAAATTAGACAGTTAAAACACATTAAAAGTTCGTAACTCACCCTTATTGTTGTTAGCACTCTGTCTCACAACATTAGCAGCCGAGGGAGGGGCGGCAACATGCGCTCACATGACCCAAAGAATGGACTGACAGAAAGGACAAACGTATCGGCCGAACGGACAGACGTATTGGCCGATACCGATACATAAGGGAGGAAAAATGCAAATATCGGCCAAAAATATCGGTCGACCCCTAATATCAGTGCTTTGTTTTTACACCAAAACAATGTGTTTGAGTAAAAAAACTACCTGTTGTGAATTCTACATTTTGAGTGCCAGTACCTACTAATGGTTATTGATTTGGGGGGAGATGGGGTTGTATTTATATTTGTTGCATTAATATGAAAATTCAGATTTGTATCTTGCATTCTTGTATTCTTTTAAAGGTGGTGGGGAGAATTTCCCATGTTGAGAATCTTGCTAGAGATTTAAATGATAAATCCAAACAGATGCGTTTTTTGTAGTATTGCTTTGTATTGTTGGTACTAAACAACACAAAGTTCCCAGAAGCAACTGATCTATTAGGTTCAGGAGGTCTAACCCCCCACACCTTAATTCTGGTGGGGGGTGGAGTGTGTGTGTGCGTGTGTGTGTGTGTGTGT